GGGGGGCGCGGGGGCGGCGAGGCGCGCGCGCCGCGGCCGCCGCGCCGGTGTGAGCCCGTGCTGTGCCCGCAGAGCTCGCGGCACTCCAAGCTGGAGAAGGCCGACATCCTGGAGATGACCGTGAAGCACCTGCGGAGCCTGCAGCGTGCACAGATGACCGGTGAGTGCACGACCCGGGACACACACGGAGCCGGGCTCTGCTGCCTGCCCGGGGCACGGGGGGAGCTCTGTGCCCCATCTGCATCCCCGGTTCAGGGGGACTGGGGTGGTATCCGGCATTCCCAGTGCTGGGGGGCCCCAAGAGGACACCAGGGCTCTGTGCTTCTGGCCTGGATATCCCATACTGGGAGCACTGGAGGATGCTAGGCACTAGTTCTCCCTGCTTGGGTCTATGATGCTGGGGCTGTGGGATGTGGTACCAGCTGGGCATCTTCTCCATCTGGATGCTGGCACCTGGGAACACTGGAGGGGCAGTGTTCTGTGTCTGGATTCCCAGCGTGGAGCAACACTGGTGGGCTGCACTGGCCACCCTGCAGAGCCTGCTGTCCTGACAGCTTTGCACCTCTCTCGCCCTGCAGCTGCGCTGAGCACCGACCCCACGGTGCTGGGCAAGTACCGCGCCGGCTTCAGCGAGTGCATGAACGAGGTGACGCGGTTCCTCTCGACCTGCGAGGGTGTCAACACAGAGGTGCGCACTCGGCTCCTGGGCCACCTGGCCAGCTGCATGACCCAGATCAATGCCATGAACTACCCTGCGCCCCCGCCACCACCGCTGCCTCCGGCCGCAGCTTTTGGGCCACCGCTGGTGCCACCGGGCGGTGGTGCGGCGCCGCTCCCGGGCATGCCCTGCAAGCCAGGCGCCGACGCAGCCAAGGTGTACGGCGGCTTCCAGCTGCTCCTTCCTCATCCCAAGCACCGCCTTCGGGCCAGGTGGTGCCGTGCTGCCCCTGTATGGTGGCCCGCCGACAGCTGCCACCGCCGCCTCGCCGCCCGGCCCGCCACCCGGCACAGCTGACTCAGTCTGGAGACCATGGTGAGGGTGGCGGGCACTGGATTGGACTGAGCACTGCACCCCGTGCTGCTGGCACGGCTGTACATAGGTTATATGTTCATATTGGATTGTGCCTTTGTACCATAGCACTCCCTTGACAGCGTTTCGTGTTTTACACGAGATCTATCTTTTCCTCCCCTTGTTCTCCTTCCTTATGTGACACCAAAGATCGGGGTTTTTTTGAATGCTCTTAAAAATAAAAGCATCCCTTCCATTTTGGAAGGTCTTTGGAGATAAGTTGGAGTATTGGCATATGTGCATAGGAGGGATCCCAGCTCCTGGCTTGCTCCTGGACAGCTGTGGACTGTGCTGCTTTGCATCTGCTCCAGGGCTGCTGCCTTTTGCTCTCCAGACTGGAGCTGCTGCTTAGACCCTCTTTCTTCCCAATATTTTCTCATGTAAAATCGTCTGGTCCCTCTCCCTGCCCCTTGGAGATGTAGTTGCTGCTTCCTTGCAAGTGCAGTTAAAGAGATCAGAATTATCTAAAAGGGCTTGTGTTTACAGAACTCATGAATATGCTGAGGGAGACCTCTCTGCTTCTGGCTCCCTGGGCTCCCCTTCCTAGGGCTGACTGCCACAGCCCAGGTAAAATGAGATGGATCCAGCATAGAGCCTAACATCCCAGCTCCAAGTTTAAACCGCCTGCATGAGCCTCCTGCCCTGGAACCAGAGGGGCCATTTTCCAGGCAATGGTGCAAACTGTGAGTGACTTCAGTCAGTTGATTTACAAGAGGGTGCCTACCAGCTTCTCATGTTACAGAAATAGTGGCTCTCTGCAAGACAAATCTGATGCAAGTGTTTCTGTCTCCTGGCTGACAGGCTGCAGCAAGCACTTGCACACTGCTGGGTACCACCTCCACCTGGACTTAAAAGTGAGGAGCTGTCTCAGCCCAGAACACAAGTCAGGCAGTGCTTGATGATTAATGCTCTGCATGTGTTTTTGATAGAGTTGGGCATTTCCTCTGCTTTAATATGGAAAACATGTGTCTGAGGGAGTAACGTGGGGCTGTGTGGACTATCTCCCTTTATAACCGCAAGCAGCAACTGACCCCTTTGACTTGGTCATGCCCCATTTCCAGGCAAGATGCTAGCACTAGATAGAGGTGAGTGGTAGTCTCGAGTTTCAGCTCACATCACCCTTCTTAGCAAGTCCTAACTCAAAATGGACAGCTTTAAACTGTGCTGGAATCCATTGGGAATTCCTTCCAAATCCCACCACAAAAGCTTGTTGGATTTTGTCTGGATCTGCCAGGTGTTTGAGTGTATCCAGGTGTTGGGGAATTGAAAGCTGGAAAGTGTGAGACCAGACAGATCAAACCTGTTGGGGTTAGATCAACCCCCAGCTTCCCCCTTTTTCCTCTCTGTGTATACCAGCTTCCTGTTTGGAAAAATGCTTCTTGAAGTAGCTTTTTTCCAGGAGGAGGGAGAGTGGGATATGTCCAGGAATCTAGCTCTACAGGGCTTCCTAAGGAAGCAGCCATGCAGAGGTGATAGTTCCCTTGCAAAAGAGCCTGCAGAGGAAGATGCAGTCTCCAGAGAACCCTTCCTGGACATGGGGCTGTGATGGCCCTGGTGATGCAGCTCTCCCCTTTTTGCTGGTGTCTTCATGCCTCTGCTGGCTTGTTTGTTCTGCCACCCCACAGTGGCATCTAGTGCTAGGCTTTGTGCGCCAGGCTTGGGAATGTTTGTTCTGTTGCCTCAGAACAGAGATGCAGGAATATGGGCTAAGTTTGTGTCCCCTCTGCCAAGTGGAGTGTCTCCTTTCTGCACTGCGTTATGCTGGAAGTAATGAGGGTAGGTTTGAGCTCACTTTATTTTTTAGAGAAAAGCTCACAAGACCTGTCTGGGAATCGCATCACAGCAGCTCCTGCCTCTTGACAGCTTGCCTGGACCTGATGCAAACCCAGTAATGTATCACCTGTAAGAACTGAGGCCGTTCCAACTTACCAGGATACTCCTCTTCTGTTGAACCAGTTGGCTTGGAAAGTATATTTAAGGGTGGGGGGGAGGAACAAACTTTTACTAGTTTAATAGGGAATGCATACAGATCCAGGAGCAAAGGACAAGACAAACATATTTGCTAATGAAGTTCAAGGGGATTAGTAAAAGCAGATATGCTGTGCTTGGACCAGTTTCTCTGAAGCTTTTTGGATTTATGCTATCCTGCAGCATGTCAGTGTGAAAGAACTAGTTGAGTTTGTGAGACTTGAGGGGAACAGAGCTTTTCCCAGGAGTGGTGCTCTTGACAGCAGTTCACTTAGCCTGGGACTGAATTTGGATGACAGATGTAGACTGTGCATCTGCAGCCTATTACATTCAGGAGTTGTCCTTTGGGAGCAGCAAGAGCCTTGGACTTGTTCAACCTGATGCCATGGGGTGAGACTGATTGCCAGGGAGGGATCAGGGACTGCCCAGTGTAAGCACCAGGTGCTTGGGGTGGGTTGGGGTGAGGTGGTTGGTTTGTGGCTTCTACTTTCTGAATGAAAAAGCAGGATTATTTTCATGGGGGTCTCCAGAGCAGCTATGCACCCTCATGAACAGCAGATGAGGAAGGAGGCAGGAGGTACATGATGTGCCTGACGGTTGGATGTGGAGTGGCAGTCAGGGCAGCAGCAAACCTCCTCGCAAAAGCCCCTTTTGCAAATGACAAGTGGAACGGCCAAGGAGCACTGAGTGAAAACCCCGCAGAATAAAGCCATCCTGTGCACAGCTGGCCAGACCTCAGCCTTCCTGGTGCTGTGACCCTATCTGAGGCTGTGCGCCCAAGGGTAGGTGTGGAGCCGGTTGGGAAACAAGCTGGGCTCCCCAGTTGCACTCAGGACTGGGAGGGCCCTGGGCACAGCTGTTCTGGAGAATGTGATGGCCCGTGTGTTTGTGTCGGCAGAGAACTGCTCCAGGAAGGACTGGAGTGCGCTCAAGCTCCTAAGCAATTTATGGAGATCTGTTACATGCATTTGCAGCCCAGAGATGGCTGGGCTGTGTTAAAAGTGCTGAGCCAGGGCAGGCAGCTTGGAAGGGGGTAGACATGCTCCATCCCTACCTGCCCACCACAGCGCGGGCTGTGCACGGAAGCTCTGCAGCACCTGCGTGCTGGCCCACGGAGTGCCGGGGTCTGTGGGGAAGGGCCCACTCCGCCGCCCTCTACCTACACGGGCGAGCAGAGCTGAGCGTCTCTAAGCAGCGCGTAATGCACCTCACGGCGTGCTGATCCACGACCTGTTGCAGGATTTATTTCCCCTCTTTGTCACTTGCATCTCAGCAGCTCGCTTCTATCGGCTGCCGCCACCATCCCGGGAAACCTGTCATTAAAGTCAATTAACTTTTCCCACACTCCTTGCGCACGGTGCAAACCCCTCCTTGCTTCCTCCTTGGCTCTTAAGTGCTACCATATGGCACGGGCCCCGGCGCTCCCCCTGCCTCTGTGCTGCCTTTGATTCCCATCAGACAGCCGGAGCTTTATGATTTAAGCCGAGCGAGCTCTCGTACCAAGCCCTGGGCTGCTCTGCGGCCAAGGTGGTTTTTTTAGCAGGCAAGGCTGTTTTCTGGCAGGAAATGAATAGCTCCCAGATGAGCTCAGGAACCTGAGAGGTCGTGAGAAAGGAGCGAACCCCTT